CAACAGCTCTCCACTTCGGATAAGCCTGTTAGTCTGTATTCTTGTGAAAACAATTTCCAGAATGTGCATTATCTTTTACTTATTTCATAATTATCATCATATTTTTTCATCATTTATTTAATGTTAACTAATTTTTTTTTTATTTTTTAATGTGTTTCCTGATTTTTTATGTTTATTAAAATTGTACGTATTATTATTTTTGCCTAAATATAGTAATTTGCATGTGCAAAGTTTTGGAATGGAATCTTAAGTAATTTTTTTGTTCTATTTTTTTTTCCAGTTCTCGTTTAGTTATATATATGTATATATATATATATATATATATATATATATAGCATACTATATTAATAAAAATATAAATAATTTTCATTTAATTCTCACTTCATTTAAAGGCCTGGCTCTTCCAACATTATTAATTAATATCTATTGATTTGCACACTTTATAGCTTACAAATTATGGGCCCTATAATACACCCGGCACAAAAAGGTGCAAGACGTGTTTGGTGTGATGTGTTACTATTTTTAGACCAACACAACCCTAATTTTTACACTTTTCACAACGTTGTTTAAATAGTAAACAATTTGCACCGATTTGTGGACTCTTGCGTGTTCATTCATTCATACATTTTCTTGTCGGCTTAGTCCCTTTATTAATTCGGGGTCGCCACAGCGGAATGAACCGCTACGGAGAACATGCAAACTCCACATGCCAAATGAGCCGAGGATCGAACCAGCGACCTTCTTGCTGTGAGCTGACAGCACTACCTACTGCACCACTGCATCGCCCTGACTCTTGGGCTAAAGGTCCAGCGCAGAGCACGTTATTTGTGCACCCCTAAACATGTACACATTGCTTAATACACACAGGATGTACAGCAACACACACATATCTTTACATATGAAAAAGAGTTAAAGGGTTAAAATATTACAAAACCATTATTTACTACATAAAAAACACTGCCTCCATGCCTTCTTCATCTTGTGGGGGTTTTTTTTCAGTTTATTCGTGACAACTTGCACTTGTATAATGTTATTATTAGTATCAGTATTATTTATTAAATGCATATTTATATTTGTTTTAATAAAAACAAGCGTAGATTTGTCCACCTGTTGGGTTTAGACCATACGAATTTGATGTGTGTTTAGATATAACTCAGTTTTTTTAACCACACTTTGTTACTATTACTAATTTATTAGTTTCCTGGAAATTAGAACTTAATTTAGAAATAGTTTTAAAACAAATAGTTGCGCTTAGCAAACTAAATTAAATATGTAGGCCAATTTGTGTCTTCAGTGGAGTGCGTACAATTCTGTTTCCTTATTCACAAAAGTAAAGAGTAAAAGTAAAGAGAAAAAAAGTAGAAAGGGCCAAATGGAGGAGGCTCATTCTTTATTTTCGCTGCAGATGGTCTGTTGAACTGTTTTCTCACTAGTGAAGGGTTAAGTTTGTCCCCTTATTAAGTCCGCCATGTAAATACCAAATGTGCCATGGTGTGACTCAAATGACTCTTAAAGAGAATGGGAGAATCTGATTGGTTAAATGCACGTTATGCTCAAAACACACCTATAACTCATTAAGAGAATAAGCACAACCCTGTTAGACCATGCGCCATAGCGCAAACCATATTTTCCATCCTTAAAATAGCAAAAGTTATTTCAGACATGCCCTTAATGCTTTTGGGCCATGCGCTTTAGACTATGCACGTAGACCGTTAAAATAAAGCCATATGACTACATTTATTTACATTTTCAAATAGCATTATGGGACATCCATCTATTCTCCGAAAAAAAAACACAATAAAACGTCAATAAAACTCATTTTAGGGACACATTGGCTTTTTCCGGACCTTAATTTTGTTTCACCAGTTCGTAACAACAAGACGAGTAAATTGAATTCAAATGAAGTCCTTTAAACAATCCACTATTCTGATGAACAGCAGTCACATGTGAATTCAGAGTAGTTCCTTAATGCATCTTGAAAAGTCCTGATCTCTTCATCCTTATCTCTTGTATAGGTTGTGTCTTTGTGTCTTTTCATAGGTTTTGAAAACACACAGATTAATAACTCACACACACTCTTTCATCAATCAGTCTTCATACCTGGACCATGGATTGTGTGTTTGAACAGTTCTGTTTACCCTCTTCTTCCACTTAAATGCTCTGTCATCAGACGGCTAATAGCTCCAGCACGGACACTTATAAAGTACTTAACCTGCAGATCTTTGTAAACATTATTGATCATAAAAAGTGATTTTTTTTCTCCACATGATGACAAGAGTGGCTGTGGTTATCAGCTGAAATAATAACTCCAGCTGAAGACATTTAGCCATGCAGGGTGAATGAGGATTTGCTCATCATGTTGCCTGGTAACCTGTAGGACGAGCGGGAAAAAGGCTAAATCCAGCTGAACGCTTGCTGTCCTCATTAGCAGATTGTTGGCTCCCGATGCTCTGCTGGAGATGTTGTGGATTGACACTGAATGTTTTCAGCATCTCGCTGTCAGTCAGTCAGCTCTCTTCAGGTCAGGATAGTAGAAACAGACGGGGTTTGTGTGAGGAAATACTTAGTGTTGTGTTGTCCTGAAGATGTTTGTTTTGTGATTTAAGATGCGCTTGCTATGCAGGTACATGCTGTGTTTGTGTATGAAACAGATCCAAAGCATGGGACTTATAAAATATGGGTTTTATGTTATTTATAAGGAACACCACAAGCATTTGACATTGACATTTATTTTTACATAGATTTGTCAATTTGTATTTTTTGGTTTTGTGCTGTCAGAGGCATTTCAGAAATATGAATAACATATTTGAAAATTGATAACAAGGATAACAAAACAAATTCCTAATAAAGCTCTTTTTGATTCTGGTTTAAGATTTATTGAATACCATATTTGTTTTGTTTTGTTTCTCTGACAAAACTCGTCTATCCTAGTTGTAAGAGCAACAATCTAGTTGATTATTTGGAAAAGTGGCAGCAGGTAGATTTTTCCGAAGGATCTTCTGTTGAATTGCTTGCCAATCATCACAAATACTGCAAAAGACCTATTGGAACCCACATGGCCCCAAGATTGTCACAGAAATCGGTCAATTTTGGTGAAGGAAAAATCATGGTTTGGGGTTACATTCAGTATGGAGGCATCTGAAAGATCTGCAGAGTGGATAGCAACATCATCAGCCTAAGGTATCAAGACATCTCTGCTGCCCATTACATTACAAACCACATGAGATGGCAAATTCTTTAGCATGATAGCACTCCTTCTCAAACTTCAACCACCACATCAAAGTTCCTTAAAGCAAAGAAGGTCAAGGTGCTCCAGGATTGGCCAGCCCAGTCCCTAGGCATGAACATTATTGAGCATGTCTGTGGTAAGATGAGGGAGGAGGCATTAAAGATGAATCCAAAAAATCTTGATGATCTCTGAGAGTCCTGCAAGAACGCTTTCTTTCCCATTTTAGATGACGTGCATAAATGCAGTCCTCCAAGCTCATGGGAGTCACACACAATATTAATTCTTTTTCCACTGCACCATGACTTTATATTCTATACTGGACATTATTTCTGTTAAGTGACAAGACTTTTGTCTAAGTAAAGTCAGACCTTACTGTCCTAATTAAATAATTTAAAATCAAGGCATGATCATATTTTATTTTGGTAAAATAAGCGTTATCAAGAGGCCTTTGCCTTTCTTATAGGCCACTTCTGATACTATTTATATTTTATATAAAAAAATTATATATATATATATATATATATATATATATATATATATATATATATATATATATATATATATATATATATATATATATATATATATATATATATATATATATATGACCCACCCTCCTCCTTCCTTAATCCCAACCAATTTCACCGATTGACCTGCCAACCCACTTACTTCCCTAAACCCAACCAACAATTTACATAAGCCGTCTAGAAAAAGAAAAATCCTTGTCTGATTTTTACCACGTTTTTGGATTTTACCATATTCTCACCCTGTTCTGAACTTGTTTACTTTATTTTTTGGATTCTGTTTTTGCCTTACCTGATTTCTGGAACCGCTCTTCCCCGGACTTGAACAAGGTCATCGTCATGCTCAGCTCCTTTCTGCGTCTTAAGTCCGCCGATGTACACGACGAGCTAACTGGACAAACTGGTTGCAGCTGGAAAGCCCTCCTCTTAGAAATGTGTTTAAAAAAAAGTCTTCTCTCAGTTAGACTGAAATTGGGTAAAATTTAACAGGAGGGGCTAATAATTCTGACTTCAACTGTATATGTGTGTGTGTGTATGTGTATATATATATATATATATATATATATATATATATATATATATATATATATGTTGTAGCGAGGCAGAGGGAAAACACAAACACAGTTAGATGGTGTTACAAACAATGCCCCGGAGGGTGCTTTATTTACAAGTGTAAAAGGGGTGAATGAGTGCTCTTCTTAAGGGTGCGTGCTCAAGTGCTCCGGGGAGATGGTGAAGACTGGTGAGAGTTCTGGTGTTGGATCGGTCACGAGCTGGATTCGGCTGTGGGAGAGACAGAGAGAGTCATGGGGAAATAAAGCTCAGTTTCCTCCTGTGTGGGGCTGGCTTTTATCTCTCCCTGGCTGATGAGGTCCAGCTGTAAGCGATCCGGTGCTGATGAGTTTCCAGCTGGGGTGAATTTGTAACCAGGGCGACGTGGTATCAGCAGACTCGCTACAATGTATATATATCACAGTTGCATATTGTATTTTATTTTATTTGACAATACTGAACTAAAAAAAAGTTGCATTACAAGTCACAATGTCATTCTTTTTATTTGTCTGATTCTTAACATTATACACCACCTGAAAAGTGCACGTACTTTACACTTATTCTATTATTAAATACATTTTCACTACTATAATAGTTGCATTATTATCACCACTGAAAAAGACTACATTCTGCTTTTTTTCTTTTTATGCATATCAAATATATTTTATTTATATATAACTTTGTGTGTTTGTCAGATTCCTGGATGGCAAGATTCTGGACATCAATAAGGAATTTCAGCCGTATCTGGGCGAGGGTGGGCGTATTCTGGAGATCCGCTCTCCTGATATAGTGGCCACGGTGAAGAAAGCAGCGCAGGCCGTGGGCTACACTGAAGGAGCTCTGCTGGCCCTCGCTATCATCATCATTCTCTGTTGCATCCCTGCAATCCTTATCGTCATGGTTACTTACAAACAGTGAGTACAACTTCAAAAGTGTAATAATAATAGTAATAATAGCTGTTAAATAATGAGTGTTAGCTGTTATTGTAAATTCACATTTATTTTCCATATGATCATTTAATTTTGTTACAAATTACACTGTTGTTATTATTATTATTATTATCATCATTATTATTATTATTGTTAATAATAATAATAATATTATTATTATTATTATTATTATTATTATTACTATTATTTTACTATTATTATTAGTATTATTATTATTAGTTGTAGTAGTAGTAGTATTACTATTACTATTATTATTATTATTATTATTATTATTATTATTATTATTATTATTAGCAGTGGCAGTAGAAGTAGTCATAGTAATATTAGTATTGTTTCTATAAATGGTAGTAGTAATTGTTGTGTATTAGTAAGCCATGAACATAATAAATAATAATAATAATAATAATAATAATAATAATAGTAATAATAATAATAAAATATTTTATTTAAATTTATTTTATTAATAACAAACAAGCTGATTTTATTAATTTTCTTTATTATTTGTTAAAAATCACATTTTCCTCATTTTCTTTCATTTAACAAATGTTATTATATTACATATTTTACTATTTATATTCATAGTACATAAGAAAATACCATAAACAGGCAATTTGTGTCTAAATCCGAATTTTTCTCCAGTAGAAAATGTTGTCGACAGTCAAACTGTGGGAACTACACGTGTTTGCACACACTAAACCTACAGCTAATATTTTACATATGCATTTAATACATAAAGACAGTGTAATTCTCGCACTTTCCATCTCTGAGCTGCTCATGTACATTCCTGAAGGCATTTTACTGTACAGTCTGTAACCGCTGAGGACAGGCTGGAAAACACACACACAGTAGGTGAAGGAGATGAGCTCAGTGTGCCAGGTATTAAAATGGCTTTTTTTTGAGTAATTAGCCATGCTAACAGGCTAATCTCCCAGCCAGCTCTGTGTGAAAGCAGATTAATTATAAGCATTTGTGACATATCCCAGCCATTGGATCCATCCGTCACGTCTCCTGAAAGCCTGCAGCTCCTCCGAGATCCTGACCTTCTGCACACACACCGATGAGCCCGTCACCAGACATTGTGTAAATACATAACAGATGGAGAATCACAGGGCAAACACAAACAGCCAAACACACACACACAGACACACACACTTACAAATATCGCATTGAACAGCGTGTTGCACATGCTATGGCTATGTTTATATTAGTGCATTTCTGTTTTAATATGATGTTTTCAAATTGATTTGATTGATTTATTTGACATGGACGTCACAATTACGCTAGACAAACCATGTGCATTTAAAGCAGACTTGTTTATCAATTCTGTGAAAGAAATTCTCAATTGCTGTTTAACGGAAATATATTTTTCAGCACATTTTTAAACCTAATAGTTTTAATAACTTATAACTTACTTTAATAACTCACCACTTAAGAAGCAATATTTTAAATTATTCCAGGCAAACTAAAAGAAAGGCTAGTTCCAATTTTTTTTTAAATATATAAAATACATAAAAAAATAATAATAAATAAGCAAATATATATATATATATATAATAACAATTATTATTAATATTATTATTAGTAGTAGTAGTAATATTGCTATTTTTAATAATGTTATTATTAAGGCAGCAATCACATGTGGGACTCTTTAAAAGACATGAGATGCATGGGCAATGGTCACACACAACCATCAATCATGTGTTTACATTGACAAACAATAGAAATGTAGCGCATTGGAAAGGTAAAATGGAGGCTTGACATACAAAATTATATGATGTTAGTTCATACTGCCATTTATTTTTCACAAAATATATACAGTGGAAGGCAAAATTATCAGCCCTCTTGTAAAAAAAGAAATCTGAAGTGCTGTTTAACGGAGATATGACTTTTTCCCCACATTTTGAAACCTATTAGTTTTAAAAACTCATTTCTAATAGCTCATTTCTTTTGTCTTTGCCATGATGACAGTACATAGTACTTAACTAGCATTTCTTAGGATACTAAGTGAAATTTAAAGGCTTAAATAGATTGATTAGTCAATCAGAAAAAAAATGGGGGATTAAAAATATTCACCTTAAACATTTTCTTTTAAAATTCCAGTCAATTTTTTTAAAGGTATTCCAGGCAAACAAAAGAAAGACTATTTCCTGAAGAAAAAAATAATATTTTAATGCTTTTGCTCCATTAAACAACACTTGGGAATTATAAATTAAATTAAAATTAAATAATAATAATTTAAATTGTGCCATCAAATGAATTTCCACTCTACACAACTAAAAACTAAATGGGAAATATCAGAGGACAGAAGTAGCTAAAATTTTATGAAATTGTAACATATAAAACCCAAATTTTAATGGCATTTATTACAATTAATATTAAATTGCATTACTTTAATTAATATTAAATCACTTTGCTTATAAAAATGTAAGACGCATTGAAAGACAAAAATGCACAGTATAAACCACGAGGATATCCAGACACAACCACAGAGTGCCTGTAAACAGAAACTAGCAACGGTTGCCCCGCCTCCGAGCTCTTCTGATTGGTCCACTGCTATGAAACTGACAGTGATGAACAGCACTGCTTGTAAAAGTTTCAACTGACACAGCGTCTAAAAAGGCAGCAGTCACGTGTCATGCTCTTTAAAAGACATGAGTTGTGTGGGCTATATTCACACACATTCATCAAGCATGTGTTTATATTGAAAAACAATAGAAAAGTAGCCCATCTGGAAGGAAAAATGAACCCTAATAGTCTTATAAACTAGAGTACACATCTAGTATTACATTCTGATGAGAGTAAATCCTTTCATTATTATCTTTATTCAGAATAAGATTTTAGTAGAAAGTCTGAATGTGTATATAAAATCTATAGTTAATATGCTAAAGCCTCTGAGTGCCATCTGAAATGTTTTTCTAAAATGAGCACTTGTATCAGACTCCAGGTTGTAAGTAATTGAACTTCTGTGACAATGAATAGGTTATATTTTATCTGCCATTTCACTTTCTTTGAACTTAAACAAAACTCAAACAATTGGTCATACGATCAGGGCTTAATGAATCAGGAGTACACACAATGATCCAGAGAAGCCAATCTGAGTGTAAATGTGGGCAATCACGACTCAGTTTTAATAGCTTAAATTTTGCTCTGTCCTCTCTTAAATCCAATGCTGAAGTTTTCAAATCGAAATGGACTCTGCAGTTTTCCCAAAGATCTAATTTTTCAATGTCTGGAATAGTGTGGATGCCATGTGTAACCTTAGCATAACCTTAGCTTTTTATTAAACAATGTAATCATAGCCTAAATAGTTATTTTTTAATATTTGACTCCTAAAGATGAAAATTAGAAGTCACAGGATTCAAAGAAACAAGATCTTGCATTTTGGTCTGAGTAATTGCTTTGTGGTTAAATAAGTAATATGGAGAGGCTGTGTGTTTGATAGCCTGCAGGAAGCCCAGGGTCAAAGCCAGAGAGAGTGTGGACGAAATACAAAGATAGGATGGAGATTGAAGGTCATAGAGAAAGGGAAAGAGAAACAGAGGTTAATGCTCAGAGCTGTATTGTTTCTCCACTGTGGAGATGCAGGACAAACAGGGGTTATCCTTCTGTGCTCTTATCACATTTTATCACATAGATACACAGACACACACCTTCAGCAACAGCTTCAAACACAAACAATCCTATGATCTCCATCTTTAACAATGTGGCTTGTGAAAATACAGTTTGGACTACCAATTTAATTATACTTGAAAATCAAAAGCATTATCATTTACTCAATGTGCTGATTAACCCAGTTAACCACAAGTTATTCCATATAGAAATATTTGTTTCAGATTTGTTTTTTGTTTTTTTTTTTGTTTTTTTGAAAAATACATGCACTGGAAAAAATCTTTTCTCATTCAAAGATTTTGTCTTGCTTTGTCCAAATGTTTAACATTTCTAAATCAATGAAAAAAATATGTAGTTTTGTTTTTTTAGAAATAATAAGTAAACTTTAAATGAGTTTTTTTTTTTTCATAAAGTAAGATAAATTATCAGTCTAACCTTAAATAATCTAAAAAAAATTAAAACAAGATTATTTTACTTACTGTAGAAAATCTCAAGTGCGGTTTAACAGTGATGTGATTTTTTTCAGCACATTTTTAAATCAAATATTTTTAATAACTCATTTTTTTTTTGTCTTTGCCCTGACGAATAATATTTAACTAGATATTTTATTGACCATAAAAGTTGTTTTAAAAAAATTAAAATAGCTTTTATTACAATTAATATTAAAGTACATTAAGAAAAAAAAATCATGTTGAATTTGGCAACAAATCTTACATACACGGAAACAAATGCTTTTCTTGCTGAAAATTTAAAAAAATATTGTTTTGTATCCAGAAATAATAACTTAAAATGAGTTTGTCCCTAAAGTAAGCTAAATTGTCTGTCTAATCTTAAATAATCTAAAATAATATTATTTCAGACCTTAAAAAAAAACTAATTGTTTTACTAACAGTAATTGCAGATTTTTTGCATCTTTATGGGGAAAAATAATTTTAATTCATTATTTCTCGAAACAAAACACAATTTTATTACTTTTCTAAAAAAATGGTTCTTGATTTGAGAATTTGTAGATATTTGAACTAGAAATGAGAAAATGTCTAAGCAAGAAAAGTATTTTTTTTTGCACTGTACAAGTCAGGTTTTTATTCATTTATTACTGGACTACAGACATTATGTTGTTAAATTTTATAATAAACAGTTGAAGTCAGAATTATTAGCCCCCCTTTGAATTTTTTTTCTTTTTTAAATGTTTGCCAAATGATGTTTAACAGAGCAAGGACATTTTCACAGTATGTCTGATAGTATTTTTTCTTCTGGAGAAAGTCTTGTTTGTTTTATTTCGGCTAGAATAAAAGCATTTTTAATTTTTAACACCATTTTAAGGACAAAATTGTTAGCTCTTTTAAGCTATTTTTTTATATAGTCTACAGAACAAACCATCGTTATACAATACCTTACCTAATTACCCCAACCTGCCTAGTTAAACTAATTAACCTAGTTAAGCCTTTAAATGTCCCTTTAAGCTGTATAGAAGTGTCTTGAAAAATATCTAGTGAATTATTATTTACTGTCATCATGGCAAAGATAAAATAAATCAGTTATTACAAATAAGTTATTAAAACTATTATGTTTAATAATGTGTTAAAATAAGCTTCTCTCTGTTAAACAAAAATTAGGGGAAAAATAAACAAGCAGTCTAATAAATTAGGGGTGCTAATTATTCTGACATCAACTGTATATTATAATAAAATCAATAATAGTGCAATAATAGGTACAAAATCAGGATTGAAACATGTCTGACACAGTCTCTCTCATATTATATTATACTTTTTAATACCGCTCCCCTGGTGTTATAGAATAGTTTTGGGTACGCTGTATTGTATTGAATGATGTTATACTGTATTATTCTACTATGTGTTGAATTGTTCCTGCGCATAATCATCCACTAATTCTCCTTTCCTCTTCCTCTTCCTGTGGCTGCATGTGGACTCTGCGCTCAGATTCAAAGAGTAAGTTCAACTCCTTCTTTTTGATGAATTATTTGCCAGAGAGCTTGTGCTTTCATACCCTCGTTATTCAGTTCAATCCTTTAAAACAGGAGCGTACGAGGGCCAATGCATGAATTGAGATGAAGAGCAGGGCACATTCTCTCTGATTCCAGCACAATAGCGATGCCTTTGAAAATGAACCCGAAATGACTGGTTTCATGACCTCATAGAGTACAAAGTGAGCCCGGTCCGCTTCCCTTCTAATAAAACACCTCATCTCAGTGTGAAAGGTGTTGAATAACCCATGATATTTTGCATCGCATGAATAAAAAGTGCTGGAACAGTTCAAATGAGAGTCGCCGCTCATATCCAGACCTCATATCCTGCGATAATAGAGCTGAAATGAGACTATTGAGGGAAGGAAACTCACTCTTTTGGGGGTGCTTTTTACAGGAGGCAGGCCGAATGTGCCAAAACTGCCCGTATCCAGATGGCACTTCCTGCGGGCAAATCAACAGGAGGTGGCGGTGGCGGTGGTGGTGGTGGCGGCGGCGGTGGCGGCGCTCAGACCAATTTGTACGAGGAGCTGGGAGACGGTGGCATGTAAGTCAACCTGTCCTAAATAATGCCTTCAACCTTCACAAACGACAGCAGAGAGGTGATTAACATAATGTGTGTGCGCTCATAGATGTTTACAGAAAATGAGAAAGTGTGTGTGTTGACGTATGTGTGGAAGAATGGTTTTACCTCAAAAACAGTATTTCTGTCATAAATCTCTGCCATCATTCCCAACTAGGCATGGTACAATCACCTTTTTCAAGGTACAGTATATCACTGTTTGGAAAAGTCAAGGGTTTAAACTGGCCAAGTTTTCTGTAATACCTTTCCTAAGGTATGTGTAAGATTTTTTTATTTACATTTTTTTTTCTTCAGCAGAAAAAAATATTTAAAGATGTGGTTTTAAATTGTAAAGAAATCTGTGTTTTTGAAACAAATGAAGACAGAAGAAGTCAATAATTTATTTGAATTATTAAGCCTGACATGTTTACTGCTCAAAAACATTTTTTAAAGAAATATATTGTGTTCAAAGTGGAAAAAAGTTTTAGTTTTTGATCCAGACAGTTAAAAAGAATATATATTTTAGAGCAGTGAGCACAATACCATGATACTGTGAAACCGTGAGGTTATCATACAGTCAGAATCTGATACTGGCCCATGCCTATTCACCTTATTTTCAGCTGTTGAGTGGGCGCTGCCATTTGAATCTTTTTGTCTCGCGACTTCCGGTCACATTCACTTCCATTCATTTTTTGACGTTAACAACTGCTCGTTACGCTGCTTGATGTTGCAATTTAATATTTTCCTATTATATTATGCTACTTGGTCTGTGTAGTCATGCAAACATTTGTTTGTTGAGCAAGTAGTTTGACCATTTTCTGCCGTTTGTTATTCCTAGTCATTTCTCCCATATGCGACTAAATCGGAAGTTCTAAGACAATCGCGAAAACAGGCGCACTTCCGCATTTTAGAATAAGGTCAATTCCCAACCTGTGTAGCTTACTTGGACAAGCAAAATATACTTTAAATTTTTGTGCCAATTTTTTGTAATTATTTGCTAATTTTACTAGAAATGTGGTAACACTTTAGAATAATGGTTCATTAGTTATATATGTATTTACTAACATTAACTAGGAATGAATAATCTTATAAAGCAATTTTTAATCATAGTTCAACATTAACCATAACCAGTGATGTAAAGTAACAAATTACAAATACTCAAACTACTGTAATTGAGTAGTTTCTCAGGAATTGTAGTTTACCAAGTAGTTAAAAATGTGTTCTTAAGTACATTTTAGTGCAGTATTGGTACTTTTACTCCACTACTTTTCTTCAACCTGCAGTCACTACTTTATTTATTTTTTTTCTTGTCTCTGAGGATTAGAAAAATCAGTCCTGAGATAAATCGCATCATAATGAACTACCTCAAAACATGGGCGATTTATAATTGCAGCAAACTGTTTGAAAGCATTAAAAGTGTCCAAGAAGATGTACAAAATCGTCACACACAATGACCCAGAGACTGTTTAGCTGCATGTCACTGATGAGAAGATGACGGATGTTTACTGTATGATGACCGAAATGGCCATATACACCCAGCAGGCACAAGATGTCAACATGACATCAGATCGGCGTTGTACTCCAGCATCGTAGGGACGTTGCATTTTGTTTGGAAATGAAAATCGGGTTGACGTCAGAACTCAACGTCAGGCCGACGTCAATTTCCAATGTCCAACCTAAAACAAACCAAATATCAACGTCTAATGATGTTACAGCTTGACGCTGTGTTGCTGTTACCACTATGACGTCTATCCGAGGATTTTGGTTGCCATACCTGATGAATAAATGTCAGTATTTGACGTCAATAGGACGTTGGTTTAAAATGTTGACTTGACATTGGATTTCGGTCACTTTCTGAAAACCTAAAATCAACCAAATATCAACTCTCATTTGACGTCGTTATTGGACAGCAAAATAATGTTGTCCTTAGATGCTGGCTAGACATTGAATTTTGGTAATCTGACATCACGACCAAATTTAACCTAATATCAATGTCTAATGACGTTGTGTGCCTGCTGGGTAATAACTACAGTAGATGCACTACAGAATACTTCGTGTACACTCACGTTCACAAATTACATGTAAATCATCAGCTTTTTACAGCGTAATACTCACAAATCTTAAGTTCTTTTGAAAGGTCTAATTTTTACTCATACTTTGAGTAATATTTACAACAGATACTTTTACTCTACTTGCACTACATTTTTAGGCAAGTAATGGTAATTTTACCTGAGTATGATTTTTCAGTACTCTTTCCACCACTGACTATAACATTTATGTTACCGAGTTAACATGAACTAACGCTATTTAACTTAAATAATATTAACTAACATTAACAGAGATGAATAAATACCATAATAAATGTATTACTAATTGTTTGTTAATTTTAGTAAATACATTAACTAATGGACCATTATTTTATTGTGTTACTGCAATTTCTTACTAAGTATAGTTTCCATTTCATGCCATTCGTTGTTTTGATGGAGCAATAGTTGTCAACTTTAATTCTTTGTATACATACACATATTCTGGTCGTTTAAAAGCAGTGGTTTTCAACTGACTTGGCCAGGGGAACAAATGTTTATAGTCACCAAGCTATGACACAATAATATTTATTTCCTAAAAAAATCCCCAAAACATTTCCTACAATTTTTGAAAAATGTAAAACACAATACCATGTTTAAAGCAGCACTGCATCCACCTAAAAAAAAGTCTTTAGTTTTTTAATTAATTATTTTAAGAGGAAGGTTGCGCCTGAATCAGTACCATTATTCTGTTGTCAGTGCACTGATTAGGGATGCGTTTCTTGAAAACAGCCATTAGCCAACTTAGATCACAATTTTTGTTGTTACAATTGTAGTTTAGAGATTTGTCATTCCAACAAACATTTGCAGAGCAAGGTCACAACACACAAAAAAGTTAAATGAACAAGGATCCATATGAACATAACATAATTTAAATCAAGTAATTGTGGGATACCAAAGTCAAATTTATACATTTATACAATTTATACATTTTTAACATTCCCAACAAAATTGTGGCTAGTGAAAATGCCAAGATGGCTAGTAATGTTGGACATTTACTAGCATTACTAGCCACAGTGGCTGGTGATGAAAAACCTAAAGTCAAGGCCTGTAAATAACTTACAAAAAGCAGTCAACAATACTTAAAAGTGATTGAGTTAAATAAACTATGACTAAACAAGATCAGCTTTCTCATTATCAGCCAGGCGTTATTGTGGGGTGATATTTGCACTCACACGCACCAGTCACGTGTGATATTCAGCAAAAAGCACCCATAAAATGATTCCTGCTTATAGTTACTGTTATGGTCCCTAATACAAATTTGACTTGAGAACTACAGACAACGTAACATAAATAAACAACGGGCAAAGTGCTCCAGCTAAATTATTTATTAACATAACATAACCAGCAAAAAAATCCTAAATGACAAGAGATGGGGAGCCCCCCACCCAATAAACAATAAAGCTGTCACAAACTGTGGTGGCGTGGAGAAATGAGGGATCGCGAGAAGTTCGCTTCCGTCTGTTTTAAAGGCCTGATGCCACCAAATCAACCAATAGAAAACTAATAAGAGAAAAAAGACAAACAAGATCAATTTATAGTAATAATTAAGGGCAGGAGTGAACGCCACACACAACACCTTCACCCCCAAAAATGGAGATTGGTAAACAAAACAAAAATACATAAATAAAACACCACCCATCTCCGTATGGTAATACGTGACATTGCATTGGCCAGCACATTATCTTTACCAGCAACATGTTTCATTTCCAAGTTAAAAGGTTGGACAAACAAAGCCTATCTCATCAAAAGTTGGTTAAAATAGCGCGCTTCATGAATAAAGATGAGAGGGTTGTTATCAGTGTAGACAGTAATCGGTAGCGCCAGATGGAATCTGCGAACATTTTTTGCTATTTCTGCAGAGAATTTTGGTAAAAATCTGCGGATTTCTGCGGAATTATTCTGGGAGTATCATAACTAAAACCATCATATGTGTAATAAAAAATAATATCTTTTTAAACTTTTATTTAGTGTTTAAAATGCCAATCCAATTAGATTATCTTTATTTGGTAAACAAAGCAAGTATCTCATATAATATCTCTACTAAAAGACAGAAAATATGACTTTACAAACTGATGAACATCAGTTTCAGATGAAGTAAATCAGATGAACATTTTCATATTAGTCAATAATATTTCTGTACTTAATTTAAAAACTGAATAAACTTAGATTTACTCAAGTAAATAAACAGAATTAATGATGGGCTAAAAATCTGCGAAAATCTGTGGAAAATCTGCGTAATTCTGCGCGCGCAGATTCCGTGTGGGCCTAGTAATCGGATAGGATGAAAATCCAATATAAACTTCAAAGTTGTTAAGGGCCAAAACTAGGAGAAACTGCTCGCTGCAGAGCCACTTGGGCTGAGGGGGAGCTTGAGCTCCAACTCCTCCTCCTATAAGCTGTTTTAATGCGTACACCCACCAATAACCCCAACCCCCAGTGACATCACTTGTAGAAGAAGTGCAAGGAAGGAGGAGCTGGAGCTCAGGCCCTTGCTGGAGCTCATCTCTGCCCAAGTGGCTCTGCAGTAACACTTGAAAACTAGCGCCAGAAATTCCTTTTCAATTGTGCAGTATGCTTTCAGATGTTTTTGATTTTTTTTTTGAGAAAAGTAACACACTGGATGCTCAACTTCTTCAAGCCTATCCTGCAATAGCACAGCGCCTGCCCCCACATTGCTAGCATCAACAGCCAATTTTACCACGAGTCTTTTTTTTTTTTTTTACAAAACTAGTAGCAAAAAAATGTTCTAGAGGTACTATATATGAAAAAGAAAACAAATTGCTTGTGTTACATCTCAATAATTGTATGAAACCTGACCATGCTTGAACACAAGATTCCAAATCTTTCACAATGTGAATAACTCTGCAGGCATGAAATAACATTATACCACCTTTTTAA